ATCTTCTGTGTCTGTGTTAATTGGTTTCCCTTTTCTTTGTTGAAGAGGGTCTGTGCAATCCTTCTGCCTAGTCCGCCATCTTGCCCCTCCTCAATTCCATAAGTTTTAATATCTTAAAATTAGCAAGCTTCAAATACTATGAAATCTCAACAATTATGTTTTTTTATGAGTACATTAGTCTGTTATTTTTTGTATTTTCTGGATTTGAGCAATGCTTTTTTTTCATTTGCTTTTGCTATCTAATAAACATATTTCAAAAAGAATTATTCTTGATGAAGTTTTCAAAATTAAATATTTAAAAAATAAACTTGAATATGTCTTCTTTTTTATTTTAGATTGGTAGCAATTCTAACTTGGGTTCTCCTGAAAATACAAAGTATTGTGGCATAGATGTACCTTCACTTATAACATCTGTATATAATTTTCTGTTTGTCACATTCGTGAAAAGTTCTCCTCAAAATCATGGTTTCATGGCTAGGTTCAGTACTGCAGATTTAGGTAAGAGATTTTCTCTTTCTCCTAGATTGGCTCTTAGGCTTGAATCAGAATAAATTGGCACTGATGATAAATTATTACATAAAATAATCACTCTTGAATATTTACAAAATACATTAAGAGGCAAAGTAAATACATTTCCTATTTACTAAAAGGCAAAGAAGCTATATGTATTTCCTAATCAACATCTCGGAAGGAAGGTTGGGCAATCTACTTCTGTAGTGATCCTGCCTTGGAAACCCAAGGAGGGGTGGCTATGAGTCGTGTCTGACTCGACGGCACACAACAACAACAACAACAACAACAACAACAACAATCAACAGCAATTCGTGCCCACACCTGACAGTTTGTCATGCTGTGGTAGTGCATATTATTATGATGCTGGAAGCTATGCATTTGTATCTTAAATACCAGCAGGATCACCATCGTGGACAATTTCAGTGGCACTTCCAGACTAAGACTAATTAGGAAGAAGGCCTGGCAGTCTACTTCCCAAAATTAGTAAATGAAACTCTTATTGATCACAACAACATTGTCTGAGTTACTTATTTCGGACAAGTCATTAGGAGAAATCAATCACTGGAGGAGAGCACCATATTTGGTAAAGTAGAAGGCTAGTGAGGGTGAGGGATACCCTCAGTGAGACGGATTGGTACAGTAGCTGCAACAATGGACTTGAACACACTGGAGGTTGTGAGGATGTCATAGAACCAGGTGTTGTTTAGTTCTAATGTACAAATAGTTGTCATGAGTCAGAGTCTACCTGATGACAGTTAAAAACATCAACAATCAACATCTATATCAAGTTAATTAGGTTTTTATGTTAATAATTAAAAACTAGGTTATCTCTGTTGTTGTTGTTGTTATGTGCCGTTGAGTCGGCCCCGACTCATAGCGACCCCTCCTTGGGTTTTCGAGGCAGTATCACTACGGAAGTAGGATTGCCCAACCTTCCTTCCGAGGAGTGGCTGGTGGGTTTGAACCGCCAGCCGTCTGGTTAGCAGGCAAGTGTCTTAGCCACTATGCTACCAGAGCTCCTAGGTTACCTCTAGTGACATTTAATAAGGAAAAAAAAAATTTTCTTAAATGTTTAAGAGGTCATGATCAGATTTTTAAAATTCTGATATTCAAGGAGTTTGTTGGTAACTTGTTTTAACAATTATAATTTTATTTCAACAGCATGTGGAAAAATACTTACCGAGTCAGCAGGAACCATTCAAAGTCCTGGCCATCCAAACATCTATCCCCATGGTATCAATTGTACCTGGCATGTATTAGTGCAGCCTGGCCAACTGATTCGTTTGATATTCAAGAAATTTCATCTAGAGTTTCATTACAATTGCACAAATGATTATCTGGAAGTTTATGACACTGGCTCTGGGACTTTTCTTGGGAGGTAAGCTTGTTGTTGTTTTGTTTTTAAAACACTAAACCATCCTTCTTTCTTGCTTTCCTCCTTCAGTGAAGGATGTTAAAATACAACCATGGTGTATTACAAAAACCAGGTGAGATCATGATGCTTTTCAATGATAATTTCTATTGCTGAAGATGGTCAGGTTATATCATTACCCCTTCTTGGTCTTTAGTGATTTGTTAAGTGGATATCTAGATCTATTTGTATCTCCATATCCAAAAAACTATCCCAAAATCAATATAATGCATATGCATATATCCAACACCCCCAAAAACTTTCCTCCTGCCCATGATAATATCTCCTTTCTGTCTGTTATCCTTATCCAAAGAAAACCACTAATCTGTGTTCTATCATTATAGATTAGTTTGCATTTTCTAGCATCACACAAAAATGGAATCAAACTGTATGTATGTACCCTCCCCCCCTTTTCTTTTGGTCTTCTTTTTATGAATTAGCACAATTATTTTGAGATTCATCTATGCTGTAGGGTGTATTAAGATTATATTTTGTGTATATATATATATATATATATATATATATATATATATATATATATACACACACCCATCTAGTCTCTAAGGCATTTGACTGCTAACCAGAAGGTTGGCAGTTCAAATTTACCAGCTGCTCTGTGGAAAGAAGACTGGGCAATCTACTCCATAAACATTTACCACCTCAGAAACCCAAAAGGGGTTGTTATGAGTCAGAATCAACTCAATGGCAGTGAGTTTTGTTGTTTTTTTCTTTTTAAATACCCTTGTATATTTCTTAGTAATTGTTGTTGCTGTTATTTGCCGTCGAGTCGGCCCCGACTCATAGCAACCCCTCCTTGGGTTTCCGAGGCAGTGTCACTATGGAAGTAGGATTGCCCAACCTTCCTTCCAAGGGGTGACTGCGGGTTTGAACTGCCAGCCTTCTGGTTAGCAGTCAAGTGCCTTAGGCACTATGCTACCAGAGCTCCTATCATTTCTTAGTAGTGGTTCATTGTATTATGAATATATCATCATTTCTTTATCTGTTCACTTGTTGAGGGACATTTGCATTTTTCTCTGGTTTTTGGTTGTTACAAATGAAGCTATTAGGAACATTCACATGCACTATGTTGTATAAACATAGCTTCCATTTTTCTTGGATAAATACCTAGGACTAAGTTGACTGGGTTCTATGGTAGGGGTATGCTTACCATTTTAAGAAACTGCCAAAATGTTTTCCAAAGTAGTAGTACCATTTTACAGTCCACTAGAAATGCATTTTGTTTGTGTTTTTGGTTTGGTTTTAGAAATGCATGAGAGTTCCAAATTCTTCACCTCTTCACCAAAACTTATTTTCTGATACTTTGGTAATAGACATCATAGTGGGTATGCAGTGATGTCTCATTGTGGTTTTGATTTCCATTTTCCTAATGACTAATGATGTTGCATGTTATTCCATATGCTTATTTGTATGTCTTCTTTGGTGAAATGTGTGCATGTAATCCCTGACTTACAGCAGGGTTCTGTTCTAACACTTTAAGTCAGTTCTAATGTAAGTCACATACCTGTTCTTCTGGTTTTCATTATTGTTGTTCTGTGTTGTCGAGTTGGCCCCGACCCATAGTGACCCCTCCTTGGGTTTCCGAGGCAGTATCACTATGGAAGTAGATTGCCCCATCTTCCTTCTGAGGAGTAGTTGGTAGGTTTGAACAGCCAGCCTTCTGGTTAGCAGTCAAGTGCCTTAGGCACTATGCTACCAGAGCTCCCGTTTTCATTATTACTACCTTTTATTATCAGTATCTCTGTAAATCTGATTTTTATTTGTCTTTTAAATCTGATCTTTACTTGTCTTTGGGTATTGGAAACATTACATATAAACTTACAGATATGTATTATATATTTCTAACAATAGATCAACAACAACAAAAAAGAGATGATCATAAGTGTTCCTTATAACTCAAATATGTTGTAAGTCAGAGATTACCTGTATTCAAGTTCTTCGCCTATTTTCAGTTGGGTTGTTTGTCTTTTTTGTTGTTGATTTGTAGAAGTTCTTATATATTCTGAATATTAAACCCTTATAGATAAGTCCTTTCATATTTTTGATGCTATTATAAATAGTGTTGTTTATGTGATTTTAATCCTGTTGTTCACTGCTCTCATACAGAAATAAAATAGATTTTTAAAATATTGTTCTTGAATCAGCAATCTTTATAATATCACTTATTAGTTTTAATAGCCATTTTGTAGATTTCATTGGATTTTCATAGATGATCATGTTATCTCTGAATTAAGGTAGTTTTACATGTTCATTTCTAATATGGATGTCTTCTATCTCTTTTTCTTGCCTCATTGCCCTGGCTAGAATCTCCATATAATGTGTAATAGAAGTGGTGAGAGTAGACATCCTTGCTTTGTTCCTAAGCTTAGAAGGGGAGCATTCAGTATTTCACTATTAAGTTTGATATTATCTGTAGGGTTTTATTTTAGATGCTTTTGATTAGGATGAGGAAGTCTATTTTTATTCTTAGATTAAATAAGAAATTGGTATTAGATTATTCAGATGATTACAGGTAGTTCCTAACTGATGACCTATTCATATTATGATGAACCACAATTAAGAACCTTGGGTTTTGTTTTGTAGATCTCATCATTAGTAATATATAATACATACAATGTTAAAATATATTTACATTTATATGTAATGTTTTCAACCCCCTAAAGACAAATAGTTTTGATTTATAAAGATCCTGATAATAAAAGACAAAAGGATGGGAAAAAAAAAAAAAAGGTATTGCACCTATGTTAGAACTGACTTATGTATGACAGAGTCATCAAAACAGAGCCTTGTTATACATTTGGGGACTACCTGTATATGTTTTTTCTTTTTTATTCTATTTATATTGTCTGTTACATTGGTTTCGAATGACTAGACCTAGTTCACATTCATGGGATAAACCCCACTGGGTTATGACTTATTGTTTATATTTTTGAGCAGTTCAAACCCACCAGCCACTCCTCGGAAGGAAGATGAGGCAATCTACTTCTGTAGTGATACTGCCTCGGCAACCCAAGGGGGGGTTGCTATGAGTCGGGTCCTATTTGACGGCATATAACGACAACAACAATGCTAAAATTTAAGGAATTTTATGTTAAGGAAGGATATTGGTTTGTAGTTTGTTTTTCTGTAATGTTTTTATTGGTTGTAGTATTAGAGTGTTGACGTTGTTATTAGGTGCCTTTGAGTCGGTTCCAACTCATAGTGATCCTACAGGCAACAGAGTGAAAACAGTCCTGTGCCATCTGCACAATCTTCACTATGCTTGAGCCCATTGTTGCAACCTTTGGGTCAATCCATCTTGTTAAGGACCTTCCTCTTTCATTCACCATTGATTTTACCGCATGATTGCCTCATAGAATGAGTTCATACAGTCTATGCTCTATGGCTTTGTGTTACATTTCCCTTTGTTGTATAAGTTTCTTGCATTTCTATTAATAAATTCATTAATATGCTATATGGTGACTTAGTATAGTGTTTGGTTTTCTAGTGCTGCTGTAACAGACATACTACAAATGTATGGCTTTAACAAATAGAGATTTTATTCTCTTACAGTTTAGGAAGCTAGAAGTCCAAGTTCAAAGTGCCAACTCTAGGGGCTGGGTGAAAGCCCCTCAATCTTGGGCTTCAGCTCTGCCTCTTTCTCCCAGCCCACTTAACTGGAGGCTTCTCTTAACTCAGGCAGCTGTTGGATGCTGAGGCTGGCAAACCCAAAGTTGGCAAGTGAAACGGCACAGCCTCAAGATTATTAAGCAACATGTCAGGCCTCTAGTCCAGAAACAGTCCCAAGATTGGCAGAGAACATGGCAGGCTGCTGAATGAAGACTTAGCTACCTGCAGTGTCCAAGAGTGCCAAAAAACTTAAGACCTTTCTCAAAGTATCTTCTTATATACTGGGAGAAGACCACATCTCAAAGGCAGCTACTCAGTAGATTCCACCATGGAGTTGATTAACAGTCTCATTATGGGGAATAATTACATCTAACTACCCAGCCACTTAGGAGCTCTGGTAGCATAGTGCCTAAGGCACTTGACTGCTAACCAGAAGGCTGGCGGTTCAAACCCACCAG